GAGTTTCCTCAAAAAATTAAAAATGGAACTCCCATTTGACCCAGTAATCCCACTTCCAAGAAATCAGAAACACCAATCAGAAAGGCTACATGCAACCCTATGTTCATAGCAGCACAACTTACAATAGCTAAGATATGGAAACAGCTTAAGTGCTCATCAGCAGATGAATGGATTAAGAAACTGTAGTACATCTACACAATGGAATACTACACTGCTGTAAAAAAGAAGGAACTCTAACTATCCACAACAGCATGGATGGACATGAAGAGCAGTATGCTAAGTGAAATAAGCCAGTCAGAGAAAGGTAAATATCACATGAACTCACTCATTTGTGGAATATTTGTTCCAGGATTATAAACTGATGAACAAAAATACATCCAGAAACAGAGAAGCATCGAACCGACCATCAAACCTCAGCTCCATTACAAGTGGTCATTATCCCTCCATACTTTAGCAGTAGTTCTCAATCTGTGGGTTGCGAACAATGAAAATCGACCATCAAACCTCAGAGGGTAGGCAAGGGAGAGTAGGAGTCAGGGAGGTGTAAGAGATCAACCACAGGATTTGTATGCATGCATAACCAATGGACACAGACACTAGAGGGTTGAGGGTATGTTCTGGGGTGTGGGAGTGGCCGGGGAGAGGTCAATGGGGGAGATGTACAGCATGAAGAAAAAATATTTTACATAGTAATACAATATATAATTAAAAAATTTGCTTTATCATTTTGAAATTGATCTGTGATTTTAAGGTGGCATTAGGTCAAACTATTTATTAAAAATTATCTTTCAGTTAAGAGTCCTCTTGGAGACATGGATTTGATAATCAACAATGGAACCACATATACTAGATAACCTAGAATATTATTGTTGCCCAAGAAGCAGCAAAGATACTGTCCTTGTAAATATCCATAAAAATATTTACAAATGATGGCTAGTGACTCAGGTAGGGATTATAAACACTGTGATGAAAACAAAACAAAACAGGATTCTAAAGAGGAGAATTAAACTTGGTGAGCAGCTATTAAACCCAAGTATGTCAGAGTCTATATTATTAGGAAGAGTAGTTAAGACAGCGATATACAAAAGTATGATAGTCATAAAAGTGAAAAACCCAAGTCTCAAAGTTTCCTCTCTTTTAAAATTGTATGAATTGCCTTGGTCATTAAGTGTGGTTTTTAAAAATATTTTTTTATTGTGTTCAGAGGTGAAGGGAGATGGAGAGAGAGATAGAAACATCAATGATGAATGAGAATAATTGATTTGCTACCTATTGCATTTCCCTTACTGTGGATTGAGCCTGTAACCAGGGCATGTGCTTTGACCAGGAATCCAACCATGACACCTAGGTTCATGGGTTGAGGCTCAACCACCAAGCAACACCAGTGGGGTTCATTAATTGTAGTTTTTTCCCCCATACGAATATCATTCAGGACCATTATTTTAGGTACAAAAATTATTTGATGTGATATATGTCATTTGAAGAAAAATTATTCTAAAAAAATCCATCTTATTCATTAGGTAAATGGGATTTTCCAAATATCTGATCCGTACGGAAATAAATTTGGGGAAGTAGGAAAACAACAAAGAGATAAGCTGTTGGATATCTGAGAGAGCAGAAAACTTAATTGAGTTACATAAATTGAATAGAGAAAATGAGGTCAAAGAAATAGATATTCCAGGAAACCAATGGAAAAAGCAAGTTCTACTTCCATAGTGAAAAAATAATCACAGAATCTGACTCTGAGCCTTTGACTTCTGCCAACATGGGCAAGTCTTCAGTCTTAGGACAATGACCTGTTTGTAGTTTCCTTCACAAAGAATGCTTTCAGAGCCTGTTTAATGTCCTTGTTCCTGAGACTATAGATGAAGGGGTTCAGCATGGGTGTGACCACAGAGTATATCACTGAGGCTGTTGCACTTGAGTGTGTACTGTGGGTAGCAGCAGAGCTGAAGTACACTCCTAGACTTGTACAATAAAATAAGAAGACAACTGAGAGGTGAGACGCACAGGTAGAAAATGCTTTATACTTCCCTTGAGCAGATGACATTCCATGTATGCAGGATACTATTTTAGAATATGAGTAAAGAATCCCAGCAAAAGGACCTCCACCAAGCAGAAGAGCTGAAAAATAGGTCACCACGTTATTTAAAATTGTGTCAGAACAGGCAAGTTTGATCATCTGATGGAGTTCACAGAAACAGTGAGGGATTTCCACGTGCGTGCAGAAGGACAGTCGTAATGTCATTAAACATTGTAGGAAGGAGTGCAGGATACTCATGATCCAGCATATCAGAACCAGCAGTCCACAGAGCCGGGGGTTCATGATGACTGTATAGTGTAGGGGGTGGCAGATGGCCACAAACCGGTCATAGGCCATCACAGTCAGGATAAAGCTGATGGTCCCCTTTAGGGGACATCCAGTGCCACCCTGTTATGGAATGTTTGTCCAATCACCTTTTTCTCTGAGGGCTTCATATATTCTAGTTTTAATGAGAATTTCTTCATGTTTCTCAGGAATATAAATTGAGTGCTGACTATGTTTTAGGAACTGTCCAGGCCGTGCAAATAGGGTGCTGAAGAACAAAAGTATTTACAATCCAATGAGGGAGAAAGTATGTAGAAGCAAGGAATGAAATAATTTACGTTGGCCAGAAATTACTCTTAATGTTTTATGTACGGATATGGTCCCCTTTAGGGGGTATCCAGTGCCACCCTGATATGGAATATTTGTCCCAATCATGTATGTATCTGAGGGGTTCATATATTCTAAAGTTTTAATGAGAATTTCTTCATGTTTCTCAGGAATATAAATTGAGTGCTGACTATGTTTTAGGAACTGTCCAGGCCGTGCAAATAGGGTGCTGAAGAACAAAAGTATTTACAATCCAATGAGGGAGAAAGTATGTAGAAGCAAGGAATGAAATAATTTACGTTGGCAGTGGTGTGAAGAAAAACATAGTAAAGGAGACAATGAATAGGGAGTTATGTTTTTCATGGGTTTGTAGGTAGATTTACAAACAAGGTGACATTTGAGCAGAGACCTGAAATAAGTGAAAAGGGGAACATTCGGAGATGTCCTAAATTATAGGCACTGTCCAGGCCGAGCAAATAAGGTGCTGAAGAACAACAGTATCTACAATCTAATGAGGGAGAAAGAATGTACAAGCAAGTAATGAAATATTAAATTACTTTAGGTGTTGGCAGTGGTATGAAGAAAAGGAAAGTACATCTAAAAGAGACAGTGAGTAGGGAGTTTTTTTTCATGGGTTTGTAGGTAGATTTGCAAACAAGACATTTGAGCAGAGACCTGAAATAAGTGAAAAGGGGAACATTCGGAGATGTCCTAAATTAAATACACTGGGGCTAGAGAGTGTGAGAAAAACAATAGTAGTCAACCAGCTAAAAGCTTTGGCCCACTTACAAAAGACTGTTCACATTCCTGAATGTATGTTGGAACTTGAATCAACTTCTGTAGAGACCACTAGATGCCCCTGCATCCTGCATGCCCATGAGCTTTCAGAACTGTTGCCTGTAACCAAACAAAATAGTAATTATTCTTCCTTAGTGTATCTTCAAGACATGCCCCTACTTTACCTGCTCCCACCCCCCTCAG